TCAAGACTAGCTTAAAAATTTTGGAATGGTTTGTGAAATTAGGATTTAAAATGTGTTTCCAACAAAAATATCATAGATAAAAGATATTCTTCTAGTATCAATTTGGTGATCATGATGGAACTTCTCTAATATCTCTCTTCTACACCAACATTGTTATCAATTTTTAGTCATTAACCATGTTGTGTAATGAAGAACATGACATGATTCCTTATTAACTAATGATAGGCAGGAGAATAAGTCACTCTCACAATATTTTAAAAGAATTGGCAAAGTGAATAAGTGAGGTATGAAGGAAATTTATAGGAAATTTAGAATTTATGTGATTGTATAATATGATATAGAATGTGAAGTTTGATCAATTCATCAAATTAATCATCATTACAACAAGAAGTAATATGTTTGTTGGAGGACTGATCAGACAATTTAGCATAGATCATAAATTATGATTAATATGGTCAATGCAATGATTCAACAAAAAAGTTCAATCTAATTTGACCAATTATATAATATGATTAGGATTTTGTAGTTAAAAATGATTTATATAGTATGATATGGATTATGTAATAGAACTAGCCAATATAACCTTGTTGCAACAAAACTCAGTTCCTTTATGATTTGCCATTTATAATTTCTCTTCATAAATTTTGAAGATTTACCTCAAAGTTACTAATCAAAATATAAATGCAATATAAGTAAAAATAATAATAATAAAATATAGCCACAACTTGAAGACATGAACCTTTTGTTTTTATATCTATGATGCTAATTTTTGTTCTCAGGATACATGACCATGATATTTTGTGAATATATTCATTAACTAAATTTTTACATTAGTGAATTTAATTTTAATGTCATCATTAGATACATGAATTTAAATAAAGCGACAAAGAATGTTAATGTGCTTAGTTGTAGAGTATTATATAAGATTCTTTGGTACATATATAATGCCCAAATTTTTACATATAAAATACCGTTCTCTCCACAAATTCTAAAACAAGTAATTATTGATTAAGCCATAAAACAGGAGCAACAAATCTACAGGCTTTTATATTTTTGTTTTAGTGGTGGAAAAGATAACTAAATTTTATTTCCTTATAGAACATGAGATTAAGTAGTATCTTGTGAGCTGACATATTGAAGATAAAATCTTCTTATGAGGCTTACAACTATAAAGTTACAATCAAAATATCCAATAAGATTTAATGATTTATTATCCTCATTATATCGACTCTTAAGATTGGCTTTGTACCCATTAGGGAGGAATTTTCTAAGTTAAAGGCCACAAGACATGCACCTCAACTAGGACCTATAGAAGGAATGATAAGCAAAGTAAAAGATAAACCTATTTATACACTACTCGAAGTGGAATTGGCCAAAAATGTTCAAGGCATTTACTAACCATGCTCATGGTAGACTCATCACATGACTAGAAGAGGATGTATCTATCAAGCTCAAGGAGGATTAGACCAAGGTCATCAAGGGGGTCACCAAACCCTATGGTCATATAAGGTATGAAACATAACTAGGTGTAGCCTTTAGAATTACCAACAACTTCTACATGCCCTACGAATACTCCTTGATTCGATTTAAATTTTGTATCTAAGACACACAACTCCTACCTTTTCTACATTTTCTCTTATGTGGTTATTTTGGAACCTTTTTTAAGTGCTCTATACTTCAGTTCCCAACCTATAAGACATGGATCACAAAGAGATCCAATGGTTCTAAGCCCTAATTTATCTTCTTTTCTTAATAACATTCTCATATATCATGAAGGATACTCTTTATTCTAAATTTATGGTTCTCTCTCTTAGCTTATATTTTGACATTTTCCTTCAGGCATTGATGTAACCTATGAAAAAATTTGAGATCCAACATCTTAAAAGTTGTAGTGAGAGTGGAGTTATGCTAAGGACTAAAAGGGATACACAAAGATCTTCCAAAGGATCAAATGGAGATCAAATAAAAAAAATGTTTGTGAACATGGAAAATGAAAACTTTATCATAGCTTGGAAATTGACTAAGATAAAGGAAATGATCAATCAAACAATACAAGACATCATGGATTATAATCACACATGGGTTCAAACTACTTAAAGAATCCATAAATTAGACATCTCAAAGAAGTATTGTAGGGGTAAGGATGCCACTGTCCCCTAATGAGATATACTATCTTAGATTTAAAGAAGAAGAGATGACTCTTGAACCTCATCACTTGGAAGGGTAAATGTAAAATAATGACTTTAGTTAACAAATGCCTTGTCTAATGAAATTGTTAAGTAGAAACCTCCAATTAGATTCAAGCTCCCATTTATATATGTTTACTAAAGTTGAGTAAAACCAATTGAATTATCTATGACACTTCTTGATATTAATGATGTGCTAAAATGCATGTTATTCCCCATAAGCTATAAGCAATAGCCTCTAAGATTACTTTCCCTTCTTCTATTTGGAACTATCTTATTATTCATAGAGCTGAAAAAATGTTCATGATGCTATTTATTAAGGCCTAACACCCTTAGAAGAGTTCATGAGCTCTTTTTAAGATTCACCAAGTGTCAAACAAAACTATATAAACCTTTATGACAAAATTATAAAAAGGCAAACTCATGGTAAAAAAAGTTATAACAGGTTATGGTTCATAGATGTTGGTAAAGTTGTTGAAACACACTATAGTAGGTGATATAGTAGAAGAATACATTAATTAGTTGGGGAATTTACCAATAAACCAACTAAGAAGATGAGACTATTTAAATTTATTAAATCATTATCTCGGAAACAACATGGCAACTTAAAATGACCATAATACAATGATTACTCATCTATGTCATACACAAGATTCTTTTTTACCCTCTTGAACTACCCACCAGCCATAATGAGTTCAATTTGAAAAATACAATGAGTATAAGATGAAGAAAAAGTTGTTACCACCACTACCACATACTCATCCCTTCCTCTTTATCACTTCACTATGAGTATTAATTGTTGAACTGGTTAAAGCAATCCAGAACAAGATATGCAGTATGATCCCAACATGGATGAAGGCCAATCCATACATGAAAGACAAGATGCGACACCTTCCACCATGACCATGGTATTGAAGGTTGTGATCACTTTAACAATTTAGTAGAGGAACTAATCAAAATGATAATTTGAATGAGTTTGTTTAGACCTTGATTTGCTTACTAGGACCATAATAAAGATGTTATGAGTGGGCATTAATATTTTTACCATAAGCTAAATGTAGATAGGAGGATGATTCTAATTAAGACAAGAATAAGGTTGATCACCATGATGCTCGCCTAACCGATCCTCAAAGAAGTTTAAAGCTTCTTAATTTCATTTTTATTAGAGATTTTTAGACTCTGAGTGGATTTAGGGTGTCATAGTAGTGTAGAAGATGAATCACGAATGACAAATATGCATTGACTTCATAAACCTAAAATTAACATATTTTAAGAATGACTAACCATTATTATGCATCAATGTCGTAATTAAATATACTATTTTGGATATGCTATTAAGAGTTTTCTAGATGCATTTTTAGGAAATAAATTAAATAAAAAATTTTCCATTAAAACTTATTTTCATTAAAAAAAGGGCTATAAAATTATGATGTCTTGCCATTTAGGTTAAAAAAATGTCAGGCAACTTATGAAGAAAATAATAGACTTCATGTCTAAGGAGTAAAAAAGGTAGGATTTAAAGGTTTTGGTATACAAAATGTTAATGAAAAATTGGACCCATCAACAAAAGATACTCAACTTAAAGGAAACCATTTTTACTTTAAATTCAACATTAGATTGATTTCGTTAGGGCCAAATATGTATACTCTTGGGTTTTTGCTTACCCTTAAATGTGTAAAGATGAACAATGAAATTATTGAAGCAACTATAAAATTAAAAACCTTTATATAACTTCAATAGCTAGTTGTATAAATAACTAGCTTGAGCAAATATATATTCAAATAACGTGAGAAGTTCTTATCATTTGTTGAAATATTCAGAATTTCTAAACAATTTGGGTGGAATGAGAACTACGAGTAAGTGCTCTGAGAGTATGTAGCTACTATTATCAACTCCTTTAATGTGCAGCTCACAACCAAATTAAAATCTTTTGCTATATGTGATAATTGGATAATAGAAGTACAGACATGCAAAAACTTCATATTAGTATTACAAAGTCATTCTCAAGAAGCTAATGTCATGCTAGAGCATTAATAATCTAATGATCCTCTATGAATTTCTTTTCACCCTGAAAGGTTAATATTTCTTTTTGTAATCAATAAATAATTTTTTTGACTTATTAAATTATTTAATGACAGACCCTCATCGTTTGTAATATATTTGAAAAGTATCCAAAATCCAAGTAATGTTAAATACAATTGAATTGAACTGCCAACTGCATTTGAAATTCACTGTAATTTTATTATAAACTATTTTTTGCCAAAAGCGCAACAAAAAATTTTGAATTTTATGCATTTCAAAGACAACCCAAATCATGGGTATAAAAATGTATTATATCTCCTTAATATGAGAAGTGATTAAATTCATAATTTAAAGATAAAAAAAATATAAAAATCAGTTGTATTTACCAATGCTTTAAAAATTGGACAAGACCGATTGTCTCGACCGTGAGCTAATCATTTGATTGCTTTGGACCTAGATCAAAATTATTTTTGCACATAACTGCGATTGAACAAGTTAGGGTTGAGATTGAATCAACCAACCAATAAATCAATTTGATTTTTAAAGAACAGATTGATTCTAATTTTGTCCAATTTTAATCTTTTAATTTTGATCAAACTACTAGAATATCATATCTCAAAATTTTAATAAAAAATATGACTTAAATTGTTAGAAAAAAATTTAAATTTGTTTATTAGATCAAGAAAAATTATAATATTATTATATTATTTAAATTATATTAAAATAATTTTAATAGTTATTACATCCAATTCGATCTCTCAATTAATCGTTAAATGTCGACCTCGGCCTCGACCTCGACGCTGATCGGCGCCATCTCTTCCACTCTTTCGCACTGTGATATGGAATCGGTACTCCGTAGAATAGGGAACGATCTCGAAACCCTATACTCTCCTACGGGACAATGCTCAAGCTTTTCATCGTACATCCCGCGACGAATTCACCTCGATAGTTCATCGCACCGTTCTCTTGTTCGCATTCTCTCCTGTTGTGTCAACAACTCTCTCTTTTCTCTTTCGACAGAGCCAGGGAGAACCCTCTCCGTGAAAAATCCTTTTTCAATTCAAGTTAGAGGCCAGCTTCATCAAGTTCAGGAGGCAGGTGGAACCTCGGATGGGAGAACTTCGGCCGAGAGTCAAGAGGGTGATCACAATGCTGATTGCGGGGTACAGGGAGCTTCGGTTGACGGTGACATGTTGTTCGGCCTTGATCTCAGCGATTGTGATGAGAAGGAGATTGAAGCGCGCGTTAACAGCGAAGAGCTCCATAGCATTATGTTTGAATGTGGCAGGCTAATTGATGCACCTAATGAGGAGCATAGTGCGGAATCGCGTGAAGGGAGTGGGCAAACTGTTCCTGTGGACATTGCGCATAATCAATTGGAGATCGCTGAAGCCTTAGTTAATGGTGCAGATGAAAGGGTTTCTCATCTCGGAGAGGTTTTGGAGGTTGCTAGGGTGGATAGGAGAGTTTATGATTTTTTAAACGATGCGGAAACTACTAGGAATGTCGCTGTGGACGTTGGTAATCAGATAAGCAGTGAGGAGGGTACTGGTTATGACAGAGCTATTTTGGTTGAAACGCAGGATGAAAATTTCAAAGGAGCAGAAGAAGAAGAAGGGGAAGATGAAAAACAGCAACCAGGCGTTTGTTCCACTCCTATAGTGGTTTATTCAGGTTTGAAAAACTTCAAATATGACCAATTGCGCAACTTAGATCATCCAATTGACGGTGCAGAAGTGGAAGAAGGGGAAATTTCTGATGAAGTCCAGGATTTAGAAGAACTTGTTGATATTAATGATAAAGTTCCAGACGGTCAGAGGAAAGAAGGGTCGGTAATCAGAATTTAGAATCTCCTTTTTTCCTGATCACACAAAAATCGGATGGGCTTCCTGAAATAATTTGATTTTTCTGGCCATGTAGGGATGATTTCAGCAATATTGCATCTACTTCAAGTTGTATTCACAAAATTGAAGTTCCCGAGTTTGGAGCCAGTCCACTAGATAGATCAGAAGAGAATTTAATCGTTAAAGCAACCCAAATGAAACGAAAGGTAGTTATACATTGATTATATATCTACTTGAATGTTTTTTAGGTGCAGCTTCTTCTGATTTTCTTGTTTTTCTTATGTTACTGCTTCGACCCCTATATTTGATTATTATACTTGTCCGGTTATCTAAACAATGTTGCATGATTCAGGTTGTGGAAGCTAAGGAGAAGAAGAATAAGAAGAATAGTACTTTGACTGAGGAGAGAAAGGCTAAAAAGAAGGTTTGTATTCTATTCCCTGCTTAAATGCTGTGTTTGAAGTAAATGAGCAGAGCTCAAATGGAAAAGCGTAACTTTTGGTAAATTTCTGCTTGGTTTTTCAGATTGCAAAGAAAAGGAAAAGAGCACAGAAGAACCGAGAACAAGGTGTTAAGAAATTGAAGTTACATGCGATTGTGAAGCCAAAAGAAGTAAAATATTGCAACTTTTACCGGATGGGAAGGTGTCAGCAGGTTTTGCTCTGTTATTGTATTTCCTATTTTACATAGATGGCTTCCAAATGGTTTTTTTTTTCTTTTCTTCTTTAAAGGGGAATTCTCTCGCTGCTAACTACAAGGTAACATTGACATGCCTTAAAGAATCCATAAATAACTAGAAATTTTTTTCTTGAACACATCATGCTTAGGATATGTTGGTTAGTTTAGTCAGCAAGTATGCATTATGATTTTACCAATGCAAAGGGGTCTGTTTTAAACAGCCTGCATCTTGTGCATGTGTAGGTTTTGTATCTAACAAGATGCCTATGTGACATATCTATAAATTGGTTTAGACTAATATATTTTGCGGTAAGCTTCCACTAGGCTGGGTCTCTTGGTAATTGTGGAAGGGATTAGAGAATTGTGATGATACAAGGAGGATTGTATGTTCAAATAAGATAGCGAAGTTGGATTTGCTTGGCGAAGCAAAAGAAAAAGAAGATTGGGTTGCTATTTTTGATAAATTGTTCAGGTTTTGGTGGTAGGTGTTAGGAGTCGGGAGCCAGTTGTGGTGCTAGAGGCACTGGAGGAGGATGAGCAGGAATAAACTGTGAAAACTGTTCTACTTCTCTGTTTATTTAATTCCTTGCTGCTGTTAGGAGCCTCTTAATGTGAACAAATGAAAAAAAATGTGACTTAGGCTTTGGTTTTTGGCTCCAGTTTTTTATTGAGGATAAACTTATTTTAAAATAATATATAAACTAAAAAGTTTAACCCTGACTTTACATTATATTATTGCCACTTAGAGATTGAAAACATATTTAGTTTGTAACCTCCTCCTATCAAGTTTACTAGTATAATTAGAATAAAAAAATCTCCAACATTGCTACTACTCTATATTTGTCATACATCAACTCAAAATCCGCAATACCTCTAAATATACTACAAAACCTATTTTACTATTATTAGTTTTTTTTTAATTCCCTTATTTCAAAATTGTTTTAGTAAAACCAAGATGTTCTATGTTTACTATTATGTTGACATTAGCTTTTATCTTATATCTATATAACTCTGGCTGTAATCAACATATAAAAGTTGTCATTCAAACGATTTTTTTGTAAGCCACTTATGGTGCACACAATTATCAGATGCGCTTCTCCTAAACTAATTACTTAAAATTAAACCATCAAACTTCTTGTACTACTTCAAGTAAGATTGTGCCTATGGATACAACTATGCTTGACTATAAATTAGAATATCTTTATGGAATCCATATGGTCTTTTTGATTATAGTCCTTTTCAGCTAATTGGATTTTGTATTTGATATTATCTCAACCATGGAGTCCTCCTTTTTGTCTTAAAATTTCATTTACAATGGCCCTTTTACCTTGAGTGAGTTTAATTAAATCTTATGTTTATTCTCTTGCAAAGAGTTCAACTCTTTTCAACTCTTCTATTATAGCTTTGGCCTAGTGCCTTGATTTTTATTTGTATTTTTATTTTTTTTTATTGCTTACTCAAAAGATGGATACCTCGTGCTCAATGATAGACTTTGTAATGCTTGGTATTAATAACCATTTGAGTAAAAGATGAATCCTCATAATCAGATATTTGGGTGCTCTAATACGCCTTTTTTCTCCTTAAAAGTATTTTTTTTATTTTTTTTCGGTTGTGGTGGTGTCCCTCCTTTTTCTACATTGCGCCCTAATATGACACTAAATAGGACGCAATGGAGAAAAAGGATTCATGTAGCCGACCCCACGTAGTGGGATAAAGGTTTTTATTGTTGTTAGTTGTGGTGGTGTCAGTTCCTTCAGTCTAGACAAAATAGGCCCTTATGTCAGGTAATCATATGACTATCATGCTCAACCACAAATCTAACATATTTTTTTTACTTTTTGATGCTTTCCCAAATCCACAATAGCTTTTTGCTGAAATATTAGGTCTCTTTGAACTTCACATTCCCACTATTGAGGAATCCATGTGAATTGACAGAAATGTACCAAGGTCTTTATCCCTTCACTCCATCTGAATATCCATAAAGTATGTGCATTCTAACTTTAGGGTCTAGTTTATTCTCGTTGAAATAAGTTAAGCAGGACAACTAATGACCTTTCAAAGTCAATCATTTGTAGGATGGCTTGACCATATCCCTTAAAAGATGTCAACTTAATAAGTGCATCTAGGCAGTAGCTCATCAAGTAGCATACAATATTAAAAAGGCTTTGCCAAACATTTCTTGCTAAAACTGGCGTCACATATGTTTTAGCCTTTCCAAGAGTTGTCTATCCCTATTTATGTCATTTCATTTTGCTAAGGTGCACCCATCACAATCTTATATGCAATTATATTTTTTTTTCTAACAAAAATAATTTAAAATTCGAAGTGCAAAATTTAAATTATTTTCACTCTTTAGCATCATGATTTTCGTTAATATTTTTTTTATCAACATGTGGCTTCCACTTCTTGAATGCTCAAAAACATCTCTTTTACTTAAGAGTGATAAGTTATTGCTTCCTCTAAAAGATATTCTTTGAAGGTAAGCATGTTTCTAGATTTATCTTTGGTCTATAACTTAGAATCTAGTGTTATTAAAAATAAATTTCTAGGCGCTTTTGAGGTGTGAAGCAAAGGGAGGTGATGGCTATGTGCCATAAATTAGCATATGCAACGATACCTAAACACAAACATTTGATTCTGTTCGCTATTTCTTAATAATTAAATTGCTTATCATTATGTTTTAGTAATTGAATTGGTACTCATTGGATTTTCATTCTCTTGATAAATCTATTGGCCATTTGATCGTTCTTCTTGTTACACTCTTGCATGTTAATTTTTTCTTTCTTACAAGCTCTTGTCACTTGGACGATTAACATCACACTCATGAACTCCTTCTCAATCATGCTTCTCATTGCATCATATTCTCATTTTTTTTTGCTTCGCATTGTCTCTACCAACTATTTGCTCAAGTTTACTAGTATTCCCAATTATTATGACTTTGATTTTCTTTTGCTTTGGAACATTGCGCACATGCCACACAATTCTTGGATATTTACATATCTAACACTTAAATTCATTTTTGACATTATATAAAAAATACCGCTATTACTAATTTTTAAAAAGTGAAATATATCTTTTCATGTATAGATTCTTAACACCAAAATATCTTATATATAAATATGATTGTTTAGTGTTAGATATGTAAATACATAAAAATTGTGTGGTATGTAAATTTTTATTTTAGCTTTAGATAGTTGAAATTTTGTGTTTTTTGACATATCAATGTATTGTTGAAAATTATGACCTAAATTTATTTATCTAGTTCATAAAAGCATGTCTTCGCTTTGCACTCTTTGGATTGATGAAAAAAGAAATTCTTGCATGTCACAGTTTTCTTAGCACTTTGAAATATCGATATAAGCTACTATTTAACTCAATAGGAAGCTTTAATAATAGTGCTCACAACTCTCTAAAGATCCAATATTTGACAACAAAGCAAACATCTTCTGCTCGACTCCAGTCTTCGCTCGGATACATGTTGAATTTGTGTACTTTATAATTTAATAAAAATTTTTTAGGGAGAAATTGATATCTCATTTGTCATTATGGTTGTTTATAGAAAATAGTGATTATTAATTTTTTTCCCTCATCAAAATGAATGAACTTTTGAAAATTTATTGAACTTTTACATCAACATTGAAGTTGCATCTATCGGAGTTCAATTTCACCAAAGACAAAAAGTTGTTCTTAAGAACTTAGCACATATCTAAGCTTTTTATGTGTCTCCAAATCTCTAAAGTATTTCTTATTATGAACTGTCCATTTCCCAATAATTTTTCAGATTATGTCTTTGCATATAAGGATAGTTATTCCATTGATAAAACTATAAGAAGAAAATTAATTCATATGAGGGAATTCAATCATCAATAGAAGAAACAAATAAATCTATAACTATCAGAAATAATCATACCTAATGTTTGCTCTTATTCGTTTGTGTTGACCCTCACATCACTTCACAAGATGAGTTGACCATATGTGATGAAAGTAGAGAACGATAAATGCAAATTACATTACTAATCGTGAAATTCCTCGATGTCCGCCAAAATTGAACTCAAATAATGCTCATTTGTAAATTGATTTCTTTTTTGCATTTAGTGCATCAAAATTACCTAAAGATGGATCTTCATGATCAAAAGAATACACAAATGGCAGATTGCCGGTGCGATGCATGTGATTCAGACCCAAACCCCTTTGAGTGTTGGCGAAGTTGCAGAAGTGACAACCGATGATAAAACAAATGACACGAGCCCATTCTGAATATCAAAATTACCTAAGGAAATGTTTTCTACAATAAAAAAAGAGCATGCATGGTGAAATAAATGGATCATCAGCGTGACACGTGCAATTTACACCAAACTCATCTCGACAACTGTGGAAATCACTCAAATGACTTCCGATGGCAAAACAAAGGGTAGGAGCACGTCCGAAATATCAAAATTTCCCAAGGATAGGTCCTTTGCAATCAAATGATAAAGCTAATGAAAGTGACAAGCCACCTACATGACGTGTAATTCAGATTTAAATATTCTCAATCGTCGACGAAGTTATTCAAACGACCTCCAATTGTAAAGCGAACCATGCTAATGCGGTCATAACGTCAAATTTTTGTAGGAAATGATGCCCATATTGCTTGGTTTTTATAAAAGAAACTGACACGCAAATCAATACTTGAAGTAAAATAAATTACAATTAAAAAAGGTGCTCTCGATTCTTTCTGTTGAACCATCGCTAACTGGATAATGCTCCATACCCTTATAGCCTTTTTCGTCCAATCAGAATAATAAGATTAAATAAAAATATTTTGGTACCTCTTACATAGGATCCCAATTTGGCGATCCCAATCTCATCTCGTGACCCCCTATTAGCTTCTTACACAAAACTCCCTAGATCCAATCCACCACCTTCTCACGCGAAGTTCTCCTTCCTTTCCTCCCTACGCTCTGATCTCTCTGTTCTCTTCAAATCCATCTTCTCTG